ATTGTTTGTTCTTCTGGTTACGTCTGATGATGATGTCTGAGAATAGATACCGAAATATCACGTGGTGCATTTTAAACAATAATATTAGCTGTTTTCATCTTATTTTTCACTTTTATATGTATTTGTCCATTAATTTAATAAAGATACTGTATGAATAAAGTGATTTTTTGATGTATGCACAAACTATGCTTACACTTGTTTCATTAATGTTTTGGAATCAAAAAGTGAATGTTATTGTTATAATAACAAAAAAAAATAACAATAACTTTCTCACCCCTAACTTTGAAACAGATAAATGTTGTGAAAAATTTGTATTAATTGTCAAATGATTCGGTGTTTGTGATGCCAACAGAAGCTTTGTTTTGTCCATTTTTTTTATAAATTATCATTATCATTAGATTTTCATGAATATCTTATTTAAACGTTTATTTAATTTTGATTGCTCTTCCTGTATGTTCTTCATTCTTTCCGTTTAATGAAAATTACTATAATTATTTTTCATTTTCATTTTTTCTTATGCATGAAACCAAAGAAGAACGAAGAGAGCTTACGAGAATTCATTTATGAAAGGAATAAAAGGCATTATCCAAACACAGAAAAAAATCAATGTTTTTTCTTCTGAACAGAAAGTCAGATCATCTGAGAATTTTAGTGGGAATAGTCAATAACGAGATAGATTGATAATTACATGTATAACTGAAAAGGATGATATTAAGATATACAAAAAAAAATAACGCTACGGCGAAAGTGGCGCTATCTAATTCGGTACTTGTTTCACTCGTAACTCTCTAACGAAGCAGCATGGGCACGAACCCTTATAAATAATGTATGGATATTATCACTTGTAGCTACCCACCAAACATGAGCAGGAACGGTGCGAATTACTTGGAAATATTCCCACGTCAGTTTTACTGTATTTCGCATTGTTATCATTTTATACATATTTTTCTCATTTTAGACCTATAATACATCTTACTCATATTGTTAACTCTTTTCTGACATGATTCTCATGTTTTACTTATAGTTCTCACAGAATTTTTCATCTTTTCGGATTGTCACCATAACGTACTCATATTATACTATCTTGTTATCTAACCTTCTAAACTATGTTATAATTGTCGTTAGGTATGCACCGAACCCGAACGTTCGGGTTCGGTTCGGGTTCGGGTTCGGTCCGACAGCTCGGGTTCGGTCCGACAGCTCGGGTTCGGTCTCAGAGTTCGGGTTCGGTTCGGGTTCGGGTTCGGAATATATGTCAACTAGTTCATCGGTTTGGTCATCTATATATAATGTTCGGTGTGTGCGTATGTGTGTGTCTGTGCCGGGTCAAACGTTAAAGATCAGATATGGCGATAAGGGGAAGGCTCTCAGGGCTATTATATATGAGGGTACCAATAGGTCCTCAAGGGCTGCTATATGGGGGTGCCGATAGGCCCTCAAGAGCTGTTATATGGAAGTGCTCATAGGTCCTCAAGAGCTATCCTGTATGGTTACCCGTAGGTTCTCAAGGGCTATCCTATGGGAGGACCTATGGGTCCTCAAGGGCTATTATATGAAGGTACCCATAGGTCCTCAAGGGCTGTTGTACGAGGGTGCTCATAGGTCCTCAAGAGCTATCCTGTGGGGTTACCCGTAGATCCTCAAGGGCTACCATATGGAGTACTCCTGGATCCTCAAGGGCTACCATATGGAGTACTCCTGGATCCTCAAGGGCTACCATATGGAGTACTCCTGGATCCTCAAGGGCTATTATATGAGGTACCCATAGGTCCTCAAGAGCTGGTATATGGGGGCATCCATATACCCTTAAGGGCTATTATATAGGGGTAACCATAGGTCGCAAAGGACTACTATATAGAGGGATCCATAGGCCCATAAGGCTATAAGGGATTAGGGGATAAAGATATAAGGGATTAGGGGATAAGGATATAAGAGATTAGGGGATAAGGGTAAAGGGGTAAGAGGCTAAGGCTACAAGGGCATAAGGGATAAAACTAAAAGAGTATAAGAAGATAAGGGTGTAGAGTATAAGTAGATAAGGCTGCATCAGATATAAGGGATAAGGAAATAATGGAATTAGGGTATAAGAGGAAATGCCACGATAGTATAAGGCTACAAAGATGTAAGAGTACGAGGGTATAAGGCTATAAGGTCTCTCTCTACATATAATGCGAACTGACTGATTGTCTATTACCCAATCAAGGCTAAAGAACAGATGCGAAACGTTACAGGAAAAAAGCATCCTTGCAGTATGCACAGGCTCTCGCTAGTAACACATATTTTTCTATTATACACAAAATTTTTACAGTTTATCGCCCATATTCCTCTGTTCCTTTAATTGTAACGGATTCCTAAACTCAGAAACGATTTTTGTTTAAATTAGCTTGATTTTTTTCAAAGGGATCTATAAGAGATTTGTGTCAAAAGTTTGGACAATTGTTTTGTGGCTCTAATGTCATTTTTATAGAACTATCTTACCAAGAAAATAAAGGCAAGAGTCGGTATTTGTCGTTTCCATTAAAGATAATTTATGTATTAATATAGCATCCAACTTTATTTTATCAGGTTCTGTTGAAAATGACATATGTTATATTGATAAAAAATAGCAAAAGCTTAATGTACAGGTTTAACTGTTGAAGTAACGACGATGTTTCTCATTAAATCATCATGCTTCTTGAACAATGAGTTCCTTTATCTGATTTGCTATAGCAAATATGCTACTCTGATCATTTAATGAATCTATTACACTGGATAGAGGGACTCTTCTATAGGCTGATATAATTAGACAGTTATCATATCAGTCACCCAAGAATTCTTTTCTCTTTGACAAAAACTTATTTGGAAATAAGATGTTATCCATAATATTTTGCGTCACAGACAATTATTTCTGTATTGTGAGCAATGGTTTTATGTAAAAAGATAAAAAATCGATTCAATTCAGTTCTGACATGCTGTTTTCCGTTATATATATATGATATAGATCACTAATATCTTCAGTCGTGTCCCTCCTTCTTCCACTACTTTGAGAGTGTGTGCATTGCGTTGAATAAGATATATATATAAAATATTACCTTTTTTTTTTTTATTAAACTACGAACAGTTTAACCTTTAATCATACGAATCCGAACCCGAGCCCGAACCCGAACCGAATCCGAACTCTGGGACCGAACCCGAACCCGAACTTTGGAACCGAGCCCGAGCCCGAGCCCGAACCCGAACCGTTCGGTGCATGCCTACACAAAACTGATAGAAGGAAAGTTAATTAAAGACAAAGAATATTGACATAGTTGATATGGAACTTTGTAATGCATATGAAATAAAATAATCTATAGAAAAGTTGCTTTGTTTTATTTTAATAGACAAAAAATTATTTATTAATAAAAAATGATTAGAAAGTCATTCAAGGATATCCTATCAGTCTTAACTGTTGTTATTTATCCAAAGTATTCATTTAAAGCTAGAAATTATAAGTCAATTCATTGAACTGTTTCCACCATCGATGATTGTAAAATTTTTAAGATGTCTTAGTCATCGCTGCCAATACTCTATTTATAAAGAAATAATGTATTAATCGAAATTCGGATTAATCAATATTCTTTTTTTGAACGAAGTATATCTTGTTAATCTTTGTTCTTGACTTTTATAGGATCGTCCCACATCAGCAAAATCAATAATTGAAGATGAAATTGCTCGTGTTAAATCAGAATGTTATCAACAAATAATTGATGCAGAAATAGAATCTTATAAACTTCGTTTAAATCAATCAAATAATGAAAAAGATGAATTAGTAAAAACAATAAAAGAATTCGAGAAAAAATATAAAGAATTACAAATAAAATATGATGTTAATGAACAAGCATGGACACGACTAAAAACCGATATGTCTGATAAACAACGCAAAGTAAACTTTCAATGACTTTTTTTTTCCTCGAACAAAACAAAAAAAAACTTCCTTTTGATCTTTTTCTTTTCTTTTCTTTTTCTCACTAGTATGATGAAAGTATTAAATTAAAATCCGAATTACAAAATGCTGTTGATCGTCTACGTCAGAAATTATACGATCTTGAAATTCATTCACAAGAAAAACAAAATAAATATACTATTGATAAACAACAATGGGAAATTGAACGAGTTGAATTAGTCGGCAAAATAAATGAAGTAAAAACTTCTTCTTCTTTGTTTTTTCTTATTCATAAACAAAATCATATATCTCTTTTTAGTTAGAAGAACAATTATCTAAAGTAACAAAACGTCAACGAAAAGATCTTGAAACAACTTGGAAAAAAGAACGAAATGATTTACAAAAACAACTTCAACAATCACAACAATCATTAAAAGATATACAAAAACAAATCGTTAATCGAGAATCTCCTAGTCATTTAACAGAAAAAATTAATATTCTAATGACAGAAAATGAATTATTATTAAATAAAATAAATGAACTTGAAAATATTGTTGATGATGTTCAATTACTTAAAACAGAAATGCAACGTTTACGTGATAAAAATTCATCTGATTGGAATTATTGGAGAAAACAACAAAGTGATTTATATGCACAATTACGACAACAACAATTTATCAAAGAATCAATTATAAATAAATTTGATCGATTACAAAAACAGGTAAATAAATTGAAAACATACAAATTAATATCGATATCATACATAGAATTCAAATCGACTTAATTATAATAAAATTATCAATATAGATACGTGTAGAAACTTTTGTTGCAAATAATTTTTTTGTATTGAACTTGTAATTTCATTTGCTTATAAGCACATGAGTACACAAGATTCAATAAATAGAAATTTTCGCATTGTTCGAAAACTTTGATACGAACTATGATCGTCATTAATAAATCCAAAATTTGACTTCTGTACTTTTTCAGTTCCATGTTATCAGATAATATGAATGATGAGTTCATTATATTACTCTTCTCATTCATACGTTCATCTGTTATCAGACTTTTGTATGAATAAGCTTATGCACAATTCAAAAATGCAAAGAAATATATTTCAATTATCTTTAAAGAAATGTAAAGTAAATCCTTTTGCTACTACATGAGATAGGTAGTTCAGATTTTATGATGCTCTAATAATCAACATCGTACTTATCTCATATAGGCAATAGTTTTTTGAAGTTCGATAAACTTTTGAGTAATTTCAACCGATCATTGTTCAGTTTTGCAGAATGTTTCATTTTTCTGTTAATTTAAGAATAGTTTATGTTGTTTCATATTTAGACTGTGTGTAACCGAGCCATATCCAGGCAGACCAACTTTTGAGAAAATGCACAGAAATTGGCCTAAAATGAGTCAAAAGTGGACGTTTTTGGCTCACACTTGAGGTTTCCGACTTGGAGCCAAAAACGCCCATTTTTCGTCTTTTTTGTGCGTTTAAACGCGTTTACAGAAAAGAGAAAAAGTGGTCGTTTTTGGCTCACAGTCGGGAACCTCAAGTGTAAGCCAAAAACGTTCACTTTTTGCTGATCTTAGGCCAATTTTTGTGTGTTTTCTCAAAAGTTTGTCTGCTTGGGTAGGAAGAAGACCTAACAGAATAATATTGAATCATACCTATTTGTTATTCGCCTGTTCCTAAACAGCTGTCTCTCATTAATATAGCAAAGATTAAAAAATGATTACATTTCATCAACATGATATACTATTTTTGTTCATTGAAATCTAATCCGATGTAGTCAGTGCTAAAAATTTAGAAAACACATTCTCATCGTAAATAAGAAAAATCAAAGATATGACCTTTTTCTTTTGAAACCTAGGTTCGATCTGGTAGTGATGCTGATCGTCTTGTTCGTGATGTTAGTATTGGTCCAATATCTCTCAATAGTTTTCATAATGAAACAGCAATCAAAACAAGTTTATTAAGTTCAAGTCATGAATCATTAATTGATGATATTGAACTTCCACATGGAACAATCGATGGACGAACAGTTAGTGCAAATGAAATAGCTGGTACTATCAATGATTCAACATTAATATCAGTATCAAATATTGATAATGATAAACAACAATTATTACAAAAAACTTATTCAGCTCAGGAAAAGACAGCAACTAGTCTTGAAGAGGTATTTCAATAAACAAAAAATATCTAAATAAAATTTACCATATCTCGTTTTTTTTTGTGTGTGTGTGCTTAGATTACAGTTAAAATTGAACGTGTTGAAGATAGTCTATTTTCCTATCGACGATTTATGGATTTTATTCGAGCGTAAGTCTTAAAAACAAAAGCAATGAATAAAATTTCTTTTTTCTTTTTTGTTTGTTTGTTTTTAGTAAATCTGAAAAAAGTGCATCTGTTGTACGTGATGATAGTTTAACTAATATCGTTAATCAATCATCAAGTTCGGTAAATAATAAACGATTAGCTTCTGCACCACCAGAAAATTTTAATCAACGAACACAACGACGTTCACGTTTTGATGCTAATACAAATAATAGTCAGGAACATATATCATCATCATCATTCAATGAAAATATTTCAACAGATTTATTATCAAATTCAATTATATCACCAACATCAAATTCAAAAAATCGATTTTTTTCATTAAGTCGTCGTTTTCGTTTTCGTACACAATCACCAGAAAAAAATTCAACAACTGTTCATTTTCTTGATGAAGATATTGATTTAGAAACAAAAGAACCAACAATAAAAAAATCCGATAAACCATCTAAAGGAATATTAAAATCATTAAGACATCGATCACCATTTCGTTTTCGTTCTAAAGATGCTGTTATTATTGAACAAGAACCATCACCACCACCGCCACCACCATCTCCACCACCACCACCAAAAGAAACTAAACAAAAACTATCTGTACCATCATCAACTAAACATCGTGGTCGATTTATTGAATTAAAAAAGACAACAACAAAAACATCATCATCAAATGCTGCATCACGAAAAACTGTTAATGTAACACCTATTAATGATACATCAGCTTCATCATTAATACGACGTACATCAGGATTAAAAGATCTTATTCATAAATTTGAAGTCGTACCACCAAAACCAAAACGAATTACAATAGATAATGCATCTTTAACAGAAATAAATCAAGATGAGAAAATAAATTCTGATGATTCAATTGATGATCAACAACGAACTTCAACTAAAACGATCGATATTCCCGATCTATTACAAAATGTTGAAAAAGAACCATCAACAACATTAACTAAACCAATATTAAGACATTCAAATTCAAATAAACAAACAGCTTCATTTGATTCAGCAGCAAGTATGATTAGTGCAACTGAATCAGTAGCTACAACAAGTAGTGGTACACGAAAACCAACATCAACAGCACGTCCTCTAATGCTTTCTGTTGTAAGTTAAATGAAAATATTGTTTATGTTTTTTAAATTGATTTTGTACTTTTTTTTTTCTTCTTCTTTTTCTTCTAGAACAAAGAGGAATCATCGTAGCATAATTGTTCAATATTTGTTATAATTTTTATATATTGTTTTTCTTTTTCTATATTTCTATTCGAATATTTGTAATTTGTCATATTCTCATTTGTAAAATTTAATTTTGTTTTTTTTTTGTTTTTTTTTTCTTAACATATATGATCAGAATTGTCTTACAACAATTTTGTATGAAAACAAAAAAACAAAGAAGCTTTTAACAAATAAAGAATGCATACATTTTTTGTATTCTATTCATAAAGAGTGAAAAACATACTAATATATTTAGCAAATTTATATATTCGTTTAAATACACTTCAAGTAAATCATAATTTTGAGAAAGAAACACGCGTAGAAGAAAGAATATTCATCATTGGATAACCAGTATAGAATGAAGAAAAATAATGATCATTAAGAACTATCAGAAGTACTGATCGGATGCTAAGATATAATAATCATCGTAGGTTCTACATACTTAGTATGAGTGTACATAATATGTACTGGTCGAACTAAAGCCTGCACAGCACTAACTCATCATAGATGTGCCACGATGTGTTTAGTCAGCTTCATCATTTTGAAAAAAAATGATAATGTGATCGTACATTTCATGAACCAAACAGAGTCATCTTAAATGCGGTAATAAGGCTTTGTTCGACCTTTTTTTATAGTCATAAGAGAAAACCTAGTAACCAGTGGCCAGCCAGATAACAGGAAGTTCTGTATAAAACAAGTTGGTTGCAAACCTGAGCAGGGGTGTCCCGACCCCGGGGGCGGCGGGGGCAGGACGCCGCCCCCCCCCCCCCCCCCCCCCCCCCCAACCCCCTCCACCAATTTATCGTGAGAAAACAAGNAAGAGCTCTTGTGCCAATTTAAATTAGATGAAAATGCTCAAAATATCCTTTTGAATTTCTGTCGTCAACACTATGAACATGACAATGAACAGTTGAGTACTATCGCTGATTTCGAACAAACTTATCGACCGCAAAAAGCTCTCGTATGGTTAAATCGATCGTGTTTCATTTCACGAATGCTTCACCGTGCTCAACGTACACGCGAAGTCGATGCTATCCAGAAGCTCGCCTTCTTTACGAAACATATTCATATTCAAATCAATAATGCATATGAGCAAATATTTGCTTTGACACAGAATCCTCTACAAGTCTATCGTGGTAAGACAATGTTAAACGGTGAATTTGAGATTCTGATAAAAAATAATTGTGGTGGTTTACTGTCATGCTCGACGTTTCTAATAACCAGTGTTGACAAAAATGTTGCAATGAATTTTCTTCGTCGTCGAATAGCAACTCATGCGGAAAGAATAGCGATCCTCTTTGAAATACATGCCGATCCAATGAAACATAATACAACGAGTCCGTTTGCTTCACTGGACAATATCGATTTGAATGAAGAATCAGAAAACGGCAAGATTTGCTTCACTCTAAGCGTGATCTTCCGTATTGAATCTGTCGAAAAAATGGATGAACAATCGATGAATAATATGTGGACGGTGAAATTGATACTCATTGATGATCATGATCGACATGTACGTCATCTCATTGAACCTCTAAGAAATAACGATGTACATGCCAATCCACTTTTTCACTTGGGTAAGCTACTCATCGCAATGGGTGATTATGATCACGCCGAACAATTCTATTATAAAATACTAGCTGATACTTCGGTTGTCAATCGTCCACATCGACTCAGTCTTATGCAGAAAGGTCTTGGCAGTATCTTAATGTATAAAGGCGAACACAACAAAGCTATTGACCACTTACATGAAGCACTCAAAGTGAGCTTGAGCTATCTACCCTCTGATCATCCTGATCTTGCAAGTATCTATACCATGATCGGTAGCTGTTATTCTCATATGACTAATTATGCATTAGCTTTGGACAATTACAAACGAGCCATGCTATTGATGCAGAATAATATTCAATCGATTGATCAACAATCTATCAACGACGTACATAGCTGTATTGTCCATTTCAGTGAGTTACTTGAACATCAGAAATGATATTTCATTTGATTACAGCTGATCAAAAGAATCATACTGCACATCTATTGTATTCTATCTCGTATGAAGAAACTGGTGAAGGTGTGAGGGTGCCTTTTTTTCTTCTCCCATTCTTTTGTAAATGTGTTAGACAATGAAATCGTATCTATATGTACCGCTTATCTGTTTATGAAATTTAAATCAAATATTTCTCATGACAGAAAAAATATGAAGATTCCTTTTTCGTTTTCTAGATGATGAAAAACTTTGTATTTGTAGACTTTTATACATTTTGGTTGCATGGGCACTGTCATGAAACCTTCTGTTTTAGATTTCAATTACAAGTTTTTATGTCACTGTTTACTATAAATCCATCTGCGAGAGATGATGATTTCGATAGTTTTTATTATTTGTTCAATACCTAGGTCGCTTATTCAGGTCCCCATAAACGGCAAGAACCCGCCGGATAAATATTGCATTGGTATCTTCTCAATTCTGAGTTATTGTTTCGTCTATTGTTCATGTTATGCTTTGCTCTCACAAAAATACATATAGAGCTTACATGAAGCGACTCATGTGCGATAACAACCGTTTTATTGTTAAAATGCACCAGGAAATATCAAGAAGATCTTTTCTTCGTTGATGCCAATAATAAAATCAACAAATGCGCCGATATCAATTAATGTATTGATTTTATTAACTATTTGTTCAAATTTGTTTCTTGTATTAATATAATCATTATTATTGATTTCATCAATACTACTATTCAATCATATAAAACAATAATCTAGCAGTATACAGGCACAAAGCAGCCAAGATATTGCTGTGTTAAGATGATGATGCTGCATATGCGTTTTTAGAAAAAGTTGTATGTCTCTTTGGCATTTTACCATCTGTGCCGTCAGCTATCAATTTTTCTGTTTTGTTCTCCTTTTGCTATTGAGTACAAAATATAATACTAAGTTTATTGTGCTTTCAGTCAGTAATAGTCCAAAAAATGATATTGATTCTTTGCTTTTCTTCGTGCCTTTAACAAATGGAGCATTCTACTTATTTTATATTGAATACGTTGCCATCGAAACTAAATGTTGTTTAATGCGATAAATTACTTCTAATATGTCACTTTTTTAAAATTCATAGTCACACTTTATTAATTAACTGATTTATTCTAACTAATTTATATCAAAAGTATCCATACCTACAACAATATATTAGATGTGCATTTTTTTTCTTTTCTAACAACAAGAGAAACAAATACATGTCAAAGAATAGTGTATGACGATTCAAGTATGAATACTCTTTTTCTTAGCTCGTTCGGCTGTCATTATGAAAGAAAGCAAAGACTATGAATAGTTTTTGTGCAAAAATTATCGAATATATGTTTATTTTATAGATTCAGAAAAGGAATATGTAAAAAAAAATTATGACAATAAAGAGTGTTCCATAAATCCATTCCAATAAGCAACATCAATATCTCAAACGATTTACATTCCTTCTTAATTGTTTGATTTGTTATTCATTAAAGTTCTATTCAACATATTTCAGATAAAAAGCTTGCATCTAAAGAAGTTAGAATTAAAATAGTTTTACTCATTGTCAAAGTCGAATAAGCCAACATTGTAAACCGGTAACTAAAAATCGAATTTGAAAAAGACACGCCTGTTGAATATTGCATAAACAGCTCATGTCAACTTTTAGTGAAATCAAAAGCGTTGAAAATCGATGAGGTGCTGAAAGACCGTAGAGTAGTTACTGAAGGAAGCGAAACGTCAATCAAGTTAATGACGATTGTAAAAATGAGCCAGAATCAAATGTTCGGTCGATGTAACTCTTCTTCCTAGAAATGTTGAACTTATTGGCTTTAATAAGAGATATTTTGTTATAATCTGATGGATCGTTATGCGCAGTATAGAACAATCTTGTGCAATAGACTGAAAACTTGATCCTGATTCATTTTTACAAGCGTCATTAACTTCACCAACTTTTTCTTCAGTAATTACTATACGTTATCCTAGAACGTCATTGACTTTTGATAGTACTGTTTTCACCAAATCATTGCAACGTAGTGTCTATGCAATGTTTAGCTGACTTATTCAACTTTGACCATGAGTCAAACTATATTAATCCTGACTGATTTTTAGGTGCAGATATTTTATATGAAATATATTGAATACAATTTTAAGCTAAAGAGAAATGTAAATTGTTTGAGATATTCATGTTTCTAATTCGACTGAGCTTCTGGAACATTTTTTAAATGATTGAACAGTTAAAAACTACAACAAATAATTATTGTTGAATATTTTCAAATTTTCTAAAGACCAATGGACAAGAATTATTTTTTTTTTCTAAGCATTTATTCATTCTAAAAATCTCTTTATGCTAATATTGATGATCAGTACGAATAAATTCAGAAATTAGAAATTAACTTTGGCCCAGTATAGAAATGAAAGCATGTCAATCATAATAAATGACTTTAACAAAAAAAGATTAGTTTTGTTTTCTTTTGGTCTTTTACTCAATATAAAGATGAAATAAATTAAATAACGAATAACACCAGAAATAAATTGACAAACAAATAATTTTCTATAGTCTTATTATATAGTATGACAACAATAACAATAAAAATATTATTTCGGTGGGACACATTTCATATAGGATTGTCATCTACGTGAAAACGTTCTTTGCGATGATGCTAATTGACCAAGAGCAGAATTAAGTCCATTTAAATGATTAAAAAAAGCTTGTTTTTCAACTTGAACAGCAATATTTTGTATTTGAGCTTCTTTAAGAATTGTTTGAACCTAAATAAATAAATAAAAATATATAATCCATTACAATGAATATGAAAGAAAAAAGAAACCAAGAATATTAAACTAACTTGAGCTGTAACACGTTGCTCATCGCCATCATTTGTAATTTGTATATGAATTGTTCCCACAGTAACAGATGATGAAAGATTCCAAAAGTGCTCATCCGAATATGATTGTACTTGATCAAGTTTAAGTATTCGATCAAGTATTTCATATTGAATATTTGATGGAGTTTGTAATAAAAGTGTCATAGCACTTTCTTTTAATAGTGGAATTACAGAAAGAAAAATCATTATTGAAATAAATAATGAACATATTGGATCTGATATATTCCAACCAAAATATTGAATAAGTAATGAGGAAATAATTACACCAACCTAAAAGTTCAAATTCAAAATACTCAAGGTATACAAGAAGTAATAACAGAGATATTCTAATTTCTTATAAAAAAATTTAAAGAGACTTTTTCTTCATATGGTCTCATAGTAAAAACAATGCTTTGCATACATTTATTTTTGACAATTATAACGCCCAGTAAACGAAAACTGTCAATGTTCAATTTCATCATTCGATGTTTCTTTATCATCTTCACGCAACTCTAAATCATATAATATCGTCGGACGACACTCAAGCCGTTGCTAATTTACGAGAAAAAAAAATATGAACTTAAAAAGGAATGGCTCTGCAGGTCTCTAGTGTCTTCTTCTTCTTGATGTTCTCTTTGTTTTACCCGTCTCCTCTAATGTCGAGCCATCTATACAAGTGAGAATATACAAAAAAAAGTGGTGTCAGTAGAACAAAAAAGAAATACAGAAAAAAATTCATGAAAGACATAATCAAAAAAAGAATCGAAATGATTCCAAATCGTTGCGTCGTGCTGTAAACAAGTTCAGGCATACTTTGAATAAAGAAGAATATAAATTGAGTGGGATTAACCAGGATGATAAGTTCGAATATTTAATGAAAAAAGACTTGATCAGCTCGTTTTTGTATTTCATTCTCACGTCACTACTTTTTTTTATATTCTTATATGTATAGACGGCGAAGTATTAGAACAAAGAGAACATGAAAGGAAAGGATACACATCGAAAAGAAAATGTGATCTAACATGACTATCACATATTGACTTTTTTATAAGAAATTAAAATACCACCACCACTAATTTTCGTATGATCTAAATATTTATTTTCAAATTTCTAGTGAAAGTACTTACACTTCCCAATGTGTCCGCTAATACATGAAGAAAGACGCCTAAAAAAGGAATATAAACAATGTCATCCATTTTAACATCAATATTCAAAATAACCTCTCATATTGGCATTATCTGTCAATGTATGACTATGTTCTTGATGACTTGATTTTTCACTTGATCCATGCGAATGTCCATGATCATGACCACTATTATGTGAATGAGAATGTGAATGCTCATGTGCATCATGCGAATGACCATGATGATGCTGCTCTTTAGTTGGAGCTGGTTGACTCATAGGACAACTACCACCACCACCACCATGAGCATGTGCATGAGCGTGGCTAAATGAAAATATACCAATCATATTAACAGCAAATCCAGCAACAGATACGAATAATAAACGATTTGTATCAATTTCTGGTGGTTCGAAAAGACGACCCATCGCTTCATAGAAAACAAAAAATGCCACAACAATAAGAAATAAACCATTAACAAAACCCGAAAGAACTTCTACTCGACCATAACCATATGAAAATACTCGTGTTGGTTTCCAACGAGACATAAGAGCTGCATAGAGACCAACAACGAGTGCTGTACAATCAAATAACATATGAAAACCATCACTAAGTAAACCTAATGAATTTGTCCAAGCTCCATAAAGAAGTTCAACAAATGTAAACATCTATTTAAAATAAATATAATAACATTTCATTTGCATAATTTACAGAGAGAAAGTTTTAAGACAAAATATTTGTTAATTTTTAACTAACTTGAAACTATTTTACAGGAGTAAAAAGTTATGGGTTATGATCAGATTTTTAAGTATTTTTCTCGAAATCAATGAGATGATCTTTTGAAAGGTTCAAAAAATAGTTTGAATAGAAAATTTTTCCGTATACTTTTGTACTACACCTTTATTCATATACATTAGAACAAAAACTAAGATGAAACTTCAAAGCCTATATTATTCAGAAAGTGTACAATATGCTAATCTTAACTCATAACTTTTGTCTCCTAGAAAATACTTTCCACTGAGTCAAAACTAAACAAAATATTTTGTCTCAAAACTTTCGACCCCATACATTACTTACTAGATTAATACAAAGAAAATAAAAAATTCTTCTTGAATCCGATTCTGCAAGAATATCTCTTAAACTTGATTTTAATATAAGTAACAATGATTGAGATTTTTGCTGAGTTAAATTAAATAAAGGTACACCTTCTTGATTATAACCAATAAAAGCACCTGATCGTTGTTTTATTGGACTTAATAAAAGATCAGTTGCAAATGCAAACATAACAACAGCAAAAACAACACCACCAGATAATTCATGATCTTCAACTTGAATCATTCGTCCAAACCATACATTATTACTTGTTACGCGTATTGTTTTAACCCAAACAAATGAAACAATAAGTGCACTAAATATCATTGTTAATGTTCCATATCGAAATGTTCGTATACGATCAAGTTTTACAACAGATAATTGTTCAACATAAAAATCTGATATAAATATAAATACTGTCATAAGAATAATTGGAATAATTAATGATGATATATTATCAAATAATGAAGATGTTGTTGATGTTGATATTGTTGTTTGAAATGTTGAACGTATTGAATCAATTGAATCCGGCTAAAGAAATCCAGAAGGACAAAAAAAAAAACAATATATAATCTTTATTTAAATTAAAATATTTTCTTCTTACAAAAAGATTATTAACTAATAAAATAATAAATGACATTGGTATAAGACATATTGTTGATAAACATGTTGTTATAGCATAAAATTTTTTTGGTCCACCTATATCTAGTACTAATTTTTTACTCCATGAATTTATTGCACAACGAAAAAATAAAGCAATTAATAATAAAATAACTCCACCTTTATGATCAGCAACACCAATTAATGATGTTAATTGATAAAAAATATGTGCAACAAAACGATGATGTAAATGACCTTCAGGATGATCAATGTTTTGTCTTGAATCATCATTATCAAATGCAAATATAGCTAAAACAGCTAAAATAAAAAATACAACACCACGTATTCGTGATGTGTGTCCTTGTTGACCACTAAATGATGATGAAAATAGAACTTGAAAACATGCTATTATAACAATATCACTATGTTCAAATAATAAAATTGTTCGTAATGGACCACATAATGTTAAACCAAATAACCAAAGAAGACGCATAATTGTAAGACATATTGTATATTTAATTAAACGATAAATTAATGCTTTACTTGGTCGAAATGATGAAAATGGTTTTTGAATAAATAATAAACAAATAGAAGTAAATAATGTTGTAAGAAATAATATTAAAACTAGATGATAAGATTTCAATAGATCGTATGTTATAAATAAACCAAATGTTTTTAATAATTTAATAATTATAAGTAAAATAACTATATGTAAAACATCACTTAGTGGACGAGTTTTTGATGTTTTAGAAAAAATGTCCGAATCAAACATTTTATTTTTATTTTATTTTATTTTATTTTATGTAATGGAACCAGATGTTCACAAAACATTGAGAATGCGAAATTGATGACTCATAATAATAACAACACTGAGTGGCAAAAACATACGATTGGATAATCATCTGAAAATAATCAATAGTTGTATTGTACTCGTTGGGTTAGTTTCTTTTTCTTTTCCTATAGTTGTCACTTTACTACGAAGTATCTTCCATTAATATTAAATAATGAGGCATTTTATACTCATTTCTATACTCTTTAAAGGATTGTTCTCACCGCCATCTACTCAATCTTCATTTTTACAGCTCGAAATTTGTTAACTTCTAATTGGTTCTCTGCGTATTATTACCTAAGATAACTTCTATATTGCTATGGACAATCGAGGGTTATATGGATGTCAAACGGAAGAAGAACTACATCATTCATTATAATCGAACATGAAAATTTCTAACCTCATAAGACAGACGGATTGAAGAAAAATGGCAGCAGCAAATAATAACAGTACTAAATCATCAAAACATAAGCCACTGATTTGTTCATCACAAAAAACTGCGAGCATACTATCAACTATTAAAAAATTCTTATTAAGCCTTCGTATCGAACAACAATCAACAGTTGAAAATTTCATTATTATTTGGTTAGATACCAATATAGATATACATACTGATGAATATAATTCTATTAAAAGTCATTTTCAAAATCTTGTACATTTAATATTACCATTCAATGATTCAGATCGATGTATTGATTTTATTACTGATACTAAAAATGAAAAAATCTTTCTAATTATGTCTGGTCTTCTTGGTCGAACACTTGCACCAGTAATTCATGATTTTTCCCAAATCGATTCAATTTATATCTATTGCAATAATAGAGCTAGACATGAAAAATGGGCAGATAAAGAAAAAAAAATTAAAGGAGTTTTCCAAGATATTGGATCTATTTATGATGCAGTTCGGCGTGATAAAAGACAATGTGAAGATAATTTAAGTTCATTTAGTATCTTATCATCGACATTTAATAAAAATAAAAAATTAAATCAACTCGACCAACTATTTATTTATACACATTTACTTAAAGACATTTTAATCGAATTGGAATATAAACCGAATACAAAAATAGATTTTGTTAATTTTTGTTGTTCTAAATATCAAAATAATAAATATCAATTAGATATAATAAAAGAATTTAAAAATGATTATAATCAATCATCATCCATATGGTGGTATACAAGAGAATGTTTCATTTCTTCAATGTTAAATAAAGCATCTCGTATTCAAAATATGGATATTCTAATTAATATGGGCTTTTTTATTCGAGATATCCATCTAGAAATTACAAGATTATCTTCAAAATCGAATAATCAAAATCGTTTAATTGTTTATCGAGGACAAGGTATATTAGAAGAAGAATTTCACAAGATTCTAGAAAATCGAAATGGTTTTCTTTCATTTAATAATTTTCTCATAACGACAACAGACAACGATTTATCAAAAATATATGCTCGTTGTGCTCGAGATAATCATGAATTAATAGGAGTTCTATTTCAAATTGAAATCGATCGAACAAAATCATTATTTACACCATTAGATAAAATTAGTTATTATTCACAATCCGAAAAAGAAATATTATTCACAACACATACTATATTTCGAATTCATACTATTGATCAAATTGAAAATGGATTATGGCAAATACAATTAAAATTAACAACTAATGAAAATGAACAATTAAAATATTTTAAACATTCATTAAGAAAGGAAATTGAAAATAAAACTGGACCAGAACGATTAAATATATTAATGACTAAATTACAAATGTTTCATGGATCGAAATCAATTGAAAAAGCACAATCGACAGAGATGGAATTCGAACAACACGTTCATGAAAATGTCTATCACAAGCAAACTAAGAAAACAAGCCAATCGACGGTTAATAATAAAATGGAACAACCTGTTAAAGAAAGTCTCTGTCACGAACCAACTGAGAAAACAGGTCAATTGATGGCTAATAGTGAAACCAAACAAAACGTTGATGAAAATGTTTATCAGAGGCCAACTACGGGAACAAGTCAATCGACGGCTATTGATAAAATCGAACAACTTGTTGAAGAAAATGCCTGTCATGCGCAAACTAGGAAAAAAAGTGAATTGGTGGCTAATGATGAAATCGAAGAACATGTGGAAGGAAAAATCCGTTATGAGCAAACTAACGAAATGAGTCAATCGACGGCTACTGAGAACATCGAACAATCCTTTAAAGAAAATGTCTGCGACGAGCAAACTAATGAAATAAGTCAATTGACGGCTAATAGTGAAACCAAACAAAACGTTGATGAAAATGTTTATCACAGGCCAACTACGGGAACAAGTCAATCGACGGCTATTGATAAAATCGAACAACCTGTGGAAGTAAAAATCCATCATGAGAAAAGTAATGAAACAAGCCAATTGACGGCTAATAGTGAAACCAAACAAAACGTTGGTGAAAATGTTTATCCCGAGCAAACTAAGGAAACAAGTCAATCGTTGTTTAGTGATGAAATTAAACTGGAACATTCTCCTGTCGTTACTGATGTGATAGGTGAGCAGCCAGTGAATCGATTACAGAGTGCTTCTGATGTATAACTCTAGTTTAATATCATTCCAATTGCTTTGAAATGCATTCTTGCTATCGATAATAATTTCTATTGGATTAATTAAGATGAGAATAAAAATAAAAATAAGTTTAAATTATGCAGAACAATGTTGATTATGAATAATAATTGTACTGAAGAACTCAATGGTACTAATTGATATTGTGTTTTCACTTTTAGAATTTAATTGAAGCCAAACAATCAAGAAGTTATTTTGTTTCAGATCTTGAAGAGTATATAGATTTGTCCCAAAGTGACCGATTATATTTTGTTGCAATGGTTCATAATTGCTCTTATAAGGAAGTATTTTGCAACTGAGTAATTTCTTGTCGCTTGAGATTGTTGACATTCGATTGGTCATGATGAGTATTGAAAAGCTGTTAGTGGGTGTGAGTGTCGGTATAGGTGTGGGGTTTGGGTGTGACCGGATGTTTGCTTTGTATAAATTTTAGTAACAAAAATTCCTAGTCCCACAACCATATCCACATCCTTGAAACAAAAAGTGGCAAAACAGAGAACATTCTACAGAATCATTTGTTTTTTGCTTAATTACTTTTTGTGAAATCTGACAGAATACGTACACACCGCAAACAACATCTAATTCCTGGAAGAGTTTCAGCCTGAACGGAAGAACAGTTGGTACATGAAACGTATTATAAAACAACATTAACTTGACACCACTTTTGAAAAGATCCTTGTTTCAAGAAAAACGTGAAATAATTTGAGAATATTTTCTATTCTCAAAAAATACATTTTGAACTTTTAAAATATTTTCTGTTAGAAAAGAATTTGAATTTTCGATTCGTGCTCAGTGAATGAGATCTATCTCGTTTCAACCATGAGTTCTGAAGTACCAAAGTGTCATAACATGTAGATTTTTGCGGTTATTCGATGATAGTGGCATGCATATAAAACTTAACGATTTGTTGGGACTATATCACTTCTTACTCGACTATTCAACTTTTCAAATGGATAATTCGAATAGTAAAGTTTAAATTTTTGATCTCAAGTGACTCTTCTAGAATCCTCAGAAGATCTCTAGGAATGCTAGAGGAATCACAGGAATCCGAAAGAGATCGCCTGAAATTCTCAAGGATCTTCCTGATCGTCCCAATGGATCTCTGGACATCATTCAGTAAGTCAAGTTTATATGATTCAGGTGTGCAGATAGCTGATAAGTTTAGTATAAACTGTGCATTCATATTTTTTAGATTTAGTCTTTTGAATCTGAATAGATGTAGATGCCACAGCAAGAAACACGTGCGACAACATACACAAATCATCAATAACAACTTGTGTGAGTGCCATAAAATGCAGAAACGCCTCAGCACACACAGACACGATCTATAGCACTCTATTTCGTTAACACAGACCTAATAGTACAAAACTCGACTAAGAAACTTTTAAAATTGAGCAGTTGAATAGTTGAAAGATGAGAAAGAATTTGAATAGCCATAACAAGTTAACAGCTGCTTTAATACTAATAATTTATCCAAATATAAAACTAATGTGTCCTTTCTTAACCGATTTCAAAGCATTGCAATATGTTTGAATAAGGAGGCTCTGGCTAGAAAATTTCTCTTTTATACTTCATGCCCAGGAAGGAGAGAGTCTTGTTGAAATTAGACACATCTGAATGGGTGAGGAGCGGGTTCATATATCCGATTTTCACCTGAACATCTTCCACGTATGGTTTCTAATGTACTCGCTATGTGAACAAAATTCAGTTCATTTTCACCATGAAGTGCAGCTGCAGTTTACTAATGACATTCTACCAATAATTTCATATAAAGAGACTCGCGAGGAATCACATCCAAATCGATCACTCTCCGTAAAATTTAAAAGGATAAGATTAGAGTAATCTCTTTTCATTATATTTGATAGAAACACCAATATCAGGCGATTGTTCTACGAAAAAATCAATTGCAATCCGTTAGCACTCAAAAAATATTTTTAAAGCCCACAAGATTATGAAAAATCTTCACATTTAATCGATTCAAGTTATTTCAGAACTAAAGAATCACAATGATCAATAATAGACTGAATCAATGTCTATTCGAATTTCATTTTCTAGGATTATAATCAATTGAGACGTGGTAAAACAACACCACAAGTTGAATAAATTCGACTTTTTGGACAAACGAAAGAGAATGACAAGTTTCATTAAGAAGAACGGAATTTATACTACAAGGACAAAAAAAAGAAAATATCGACAATGACGTTCTTGCTTGTTACAAAACAAAACAGAAAAAAGGTCTTTAAATTAAGAGACATGAATAGAAGAAAAGTCAATAGTATTGACGAAGGAGAAAATTGAAAAAGAACGAATAGAAAAGAAAGAATGAAGGAAAAAAGACGATATCAAGTAAATTCATTCATATAACGAATGAGAACTAATTCTCAATCATTTTTTATGTAACACTAAATGATCACTATTTTAATTCAAACTAAGGTTAGATCTCATTTTTAAATTGAACGAAACAGAAAAATTTGCGTATCTATGATATTTTTCAAAATTACGTAGTAGTGGCTTCCCTGTCAGTACACGATTCGACATTTCTTCTTGGACTAGCTTCAAGCTTTGCGATCGAACAATTGGATTTTGATCACAACNATATATATTCAATGGTCAAAAAATAAAGTCTTTATTTCCATCATTTGTATTATGAACAATTTTTATACAGAGCTTTTAGGTGTACGTCACTTCGTTGAGTAGTAAAACCCTTTACTTTCAGCTCACCCTAAAAAAATTTCCATTTTTTGAAATACCGTAACGGCCGGCATTTTTTAAATAACTCAGCCTTGGCTGCATAGAAATCGATAAAATTTTTTATTCGTAATAGATATAAATGGTCTCCATATATGATAAAACTTTCAGGGGATTTGCTTTTATCGTTGATGAGATATAAGTGTTACAATGTGAAAAAATGAAATTCCGTAGCGCGTGGCCAAGCCGATAATCGTTTCGAATGTATCAACCGTTTATTTTTTCTTCGTGGATTGAAATTCTATTTGTTGGCACAATTGTTCATAATACAAATGATGGAAATAAAGACTTTATTTTTTGACCATTGAATATATATATATATACGATGAGCTGACTAGCTTGTAGTGATGAAGGCGAAAATAAAATATGATTGGTGGAAAATTCATATAATAATGAATTCTACCATCTTGAAAAAGTGATCTCCTTCTGTGCTAACAATTTCTAAAGTCTTTTGAAATTGTTTGTCATAATAATAAGGATAGATTAAATAATTTTGATCTTATAAATTTTATTGATAATAGTTTAAAGTTATTCTTTCAAAGAAAACAATAACGAAAAAAAAAACCAATATATTTATTCTAATATAATAAATTATTTTTGACATTATGTAGAATACATTTTCTATTCAAATGTTTTATTCTCGTTTTCGAAAAAATAAATACTAATTACAATTTCTTTTTTTTTACATTTTCGAGGTTCTTTCTGCACATTTGGAGATAAGGATGATTTGACGGTAATGTTTGTTATCCAATATCCAGAGCACATTCATAATAGGAGCGTGCTTTCGAATATTTGCACATGTTTTCATACATCAAGCCGATGTTGTTGTACGAACCAGTCAAATCAGGGTGATTCGAAAGAAGAGTTTTTGGGAGATTTTAAGTGATTTTTCACAGAATTTGATTGTCTCTTTAAGTTCTGCTTGATTCTTTTTGACTCCTTCAAGTTTATCGTAAATATGTGTTTTATCAGTCTCATTCGATGTCTGACAAGCAGAACTTCATAAACTTGTTGGACCTTGTCAGAATGACCCATTTTAAGTAGCAATAAACCCAATCGATACCATCCTTCTGCGTCGAGAAAAGTTTCCTCTTGGATGCGATCAGTAAGTGTCTAAAGGTTTTTGTCACTGCTAATGGTAAGTGTCAAATTTAATTGGAAGAGACGATTATTTTCACCCAGAAATTTTATATCATATGTACGAAATTACTGACATCAGTAATGGAAGCGAAAGATGTTGTTGATATAGAAAGATCAGTTGAGATAACGAAGAGAGTCCCCACTAAATCAGGAAAATAGATGAAGCTAGCACCAGATTCGAGTAACTACAGCCCATAATCGCTCAGAAAGCGTTTCCAGGTGTTGCTATTTGTATTCCAAGTAGAGTTTGATATGCTCAATCAAGTGATGAAATGAGATTTCAGATATCTGAAACGATTTGAGTACAAGTTGAAAAACAACTATTTTTCCTCAACGGCCATTAATAAAAATCGATGTTTTTTGAAGTTGCTATAGAATTATTTGGGATATCGTAAATCTGATTTCATCACTCGATAGAACTCATAAAATTCTACTTGGAACACAAATGGCAACTCCTGAAACGCTTCCTGAGCGAGTATAGACTAGAATCTGGTACTAACTTTACCTACGTGGACAAAAGTCTTTCCCTTTGCCATTATTTTTTTTCGTATAGAACTCTTGGGTTTCAAATGTATGTTGGTTACAACAATGATTTAAATACTGTATTCTAGTGTAGTGTATGATTGATTACGACTTGCTTCAATAAAGAATATATGTCATTCAATACAATTGACCAACAGTACAAATTAGTTGATTTACAAAATACTACATAATTACGTTGTTTCTTTTTATGGTATTGTCTAAAATGTTTTACTAATTATACTTTATTTGTATTTGTATAATCGAATATATCACATTTTCGGAAGAGCTTCGAGTCAACAACGAAAAGAATTTAATGATTCAAACTAGTCAAACAGTTCGTAAATACAAAAAAGTAGGCAACCTAGTCGTGAAATATCCTGTCAATCATTTCTTTTGTAGTGTTACCCAATTCTATTGAAAGCCGTATATTCCTGATTGACGCAAATTGACATCAAGCATAGACTACGCTAAAATAAAGCACTTAAGCCATTGTTGTTACTATGATTCTCTTGAAACCAAAAATGTTTTGCACGCATCAAATGAGCGGAGAAGGAAGAAGACTTGTGCAGAGGTGTGTACTTTTCTATTGAATTAGTAGCTATTACTGATCTATTTGAAACAATCAATATGTGTCCGAATAGAATAAATAAATAAAATTTTTTTATTCAACTTGAATATGTTTGAATAGCTGTTTTGAGGAAGAACTACTTATCTTTTTTGATTTTGAACTTCTTTTGAAATCCAAGATGTCCGAAAATCAGTATGCATTTAAAAATTGATAAATTTTTTTTTTATTTTCTAGTTTTACATGAAATATTTATTGATTCACAATTAATAGAAATTCATAGAATTTGACATAATGTTACTGGTTCAAATAAACCTATTCTTTCTTTCAATGGCTTAATATAACACTGATAAAAAAAAGTGACAACGAAAATTCACTTTAAGTCCTTCTCCCTGAAAAAACTCAATTATTAGTTGTGCTTGGATCTTTTGCAAAAAATATGATTGTTTGTGTTTCGGCATTTAGTTTTTTCTTTTCAAAAAAAATTTGATGATTTCCGTCATCTTCTATTTGAAAAATATTCGTTGTTCAAAAAAGCGACAACTATTTTTCTTTTACATATGTACTAATCACGCATCCCCGAATTCTTCAAGTAGCTTCATTGTAGTCAATTGCTTTTTTTTCTTGCTTTACAAGAGTATGTGAAACTGTGATACGCGTGTTTTGTTAATAGACTTTTTATTATTACATAAAAAAGCATTTCTATAAATAGACGACCATTTTCCGAGGCATTACACTTGTCATCATTTTTCTACGCATAAAAAAATAGCAATTAAAAGAGAAAAAAATTCTGTTAGACATTATAGTTTGGCATTCTCTTTCAAATAAAAAAAAAATATATGCAGAAGGAAGGCCCACAGAGAGTTTCAAGTTGTCAAATGAGCTACTTTTAACTCTTGTTTACTGAATATCTCTCGAAATCTTATTGGTATAGGGCTGAATATTTTAGCATAGCCTATCCATTATGTTTTTGAAATTTAATTTACTATTAGTATTTTTGTAATCTAAAAATTAGATATAAAATGATAGAAAGATTGATAGTTTAACAATAAAAATAGATAATAATGAAATGAAATATTGAATTTATGAATACTTTCACACATGTATTCTAAGAATTATTTGAATTGAAATAGATTAAAAAACAATACGTGTAAAGCTTCATATCAATCTAGACATCGAAAGAATGTTTTTTTGTTCTATGATGCTGAATGATAAATTTAACGTTTCTACTTTTGATATTCACCATAGGTCAATTTCAAAAATGTGAGTAGAATATTTTTTAAATATTCACCAACCTTTTTCAAAGTAGAGAATTTTGTAGCGAAGTCTAAATATAGTTTTTTTTAATTAATTCAAAACCTATTAGTTTTTCATTGTTGAAAAGAAATAATAGTACTACTTTCCTTATTGTTTTTTCATTCGAGATGGAATCGGCTTGTTATCATCAGACACAAAAAAAAAAAATACAAATAACTCAATTGATTATGTAAATTTTCATTTGAATGAAAGTATTGCATTATTCCTTTAAAAATAAAGTATCATCAAAATAAAACTACTTTCTATGTTGCTTACAACTTTCTAAATACCAAAAGAAATAGTTGCATATACGATGAAAATATCCTAACTATGTTACTCAAGACAAGTTAAGAAAAAATATATCCTTCATATAATCGTCATATACATGAGTACTCGAACAGAATAGACGAGATCAACATTTTTATTATACAATCTACGTTTATTTGAATATAGTTTTACAAAATAGTACACATATACAATGATATTATATAAATTTAATTTAATATATTACAAGAAAATAATTCAAAAATTAATTTGGCTTATAGAAACATGTTGTAACAAATTTTTGTTTATATCGAATAGTTGTACTTAATATCATAATACCATTCTAAAAAGATGTTGATAGAAAAGAAAAACAGAAGACGATATATATATATATATAAACGTTAACAAAACAAATAAGTACTTGAATTGACAAAGCATATAAATGTCGAAGCATGACAGTATTTGGTTCCGGAAGGACATCAGGATCACACTACAAATAAATAATAAATATACATATATATATATTATTTAAGTAGATTAAAAAAAAAGTCAAACATGAGCAGGTAATTTTTGATTGAGAAGAATATTGAGTAGATGCGGTGGAATATGAGGTGGCGGTGGCTGATCACTTTTTATAAATTGATTATTTACTTCTTGTGTCCATATATTCAATTTATGAAGAGATAAAACTGTTTGGTCTAAACAATTATTTACATTTTGATCATTTGTATTTACATAAATAAAATGTACACGACCAAAATTTGTATGACATTCAATTGTCTTAAATATATATATAGATTCTCAATGTTAGAATTCAACAAAAAAAAAAAAAAGAATTAGACGAATACGCACATGAAAATAAAACCTCTCGTCCATTAACTAAAATTCTATAATAATGACAACCATGTAGTATTTGAATACATATTTTAAATTCACCATTTCTATAAATTTTAAATAAAGAAATAAATAAGAAAAGAAACATAATTTCAACATACAATTTAGTCATTTTACGTTCAATCCAATCCGTAAAAGTACCAGTAACACTTGCATATACATCAAAAGGTAAAACAGGTATCGAGAAAGTAATCGATGAAGAATCAATATGATGCATTTTTATATCGAATTCATCAAGTGGTGGTGCACTTTTAGTCGAAATCTGATTTAAAAAAAAAAAAAATTAAAACTTCTTAAACTGATTCATTCTAAATTAATCATACTCGTCGTTCTCTTTGTTGAATTGTAACTAAACGCTCATTATCAGTGTCATGTTTATTAAAACCAACACATTCACTTGGACGATGTTGACGTTTGGAATTTGTTTGATGATTTCCCATCGTCTATTCAAGTCTTTATTCTGATTCTTTTTTAATGTTTTCTATATGTATATATTAGTGATATACAAAATTTATTTATAAAAAAAGAAACGTGATGATACGTATAACTCACTGTACGGACTTAGTCGATTATTCGTATGTTTTTTTATTAATAAAAATATTTTTGGAATGTTTGTTTTTACGCAGTTTAATTTCAAAATGAGAAACAACATCATACGATATTTTTTATCTTCGCTATGTAGAATTTAATATTAATAAATGTTAAAATCATTGAATATGAAAAAAACATATTCTAATTTATATTATATCTACAGAAAAAAAAATTATTAACTTTACGATGATCTATTCATAATGCGATGTTCTAAATATCTCTAGAGAGAACAATTATTGCTATTCACTTTTTTCGTTTTTCATCTATAAACAAAAAATGCAAATGAAACTGATCTTCATTTTATGCATTATATTGTATTTAAAAAAATGTCGAAGGTGTCCCATTATGTTACTGTAGCTGTTGTCGATCAGATTCATGAACATAAATTCTTGTTAGTGCTTTAATATATTGGCAAGTTTTGTAATTCAACAACATGTAATCAAAACATTTGTTTTGGGTTCAATACAACAGAACGTCTTGCTGTCAATTCTATCGGCAATATTTATCCTGTTTGTGCTCATGTTGATACTATTTTAAAATATTTAACTTTTGTTTCGTTTATAATTACATTAAGCCCCCCCCCGCCCTCAGAAACGATTTTCCACTTTTGACGGTTCTTTCATGCTGAAATTTTCAGGGATGACTGATCTTGAAGAGATACGCTTCTGGTAAAAATTTCAGCTCGATTGGTCATACTAGACTGCTTTTCCAGCTGATTCATGGGTCATTTTTGGCCTTCAGGAAAATCGGTATAACTCCGTCATAAGAAAAGCTAGAGAGCTCGGGCTGGTTTCAAATTAAAGTATATGTCAGTACGCAATTTTT